AATTCCGTTTTTTTTGGCCTTATCCTGCAGATGAGATGAAGCGGAGGCGGGACTTCTACGCGGAGAACCGCGTCCTGGAGCCCGGAGAGGTGGTGGAGACCTTCAACATAGCGGAGGACGAGATCATCAGTCTGTCCATCCAGTTCTACGAGAGGAACAAGTGAGTCCATCCGGCCAATCAGAGCCTGTTCTGCATCAGAATCACAAATACTTCAATAATCCCAGAGGAAAATGAGTTTTGTTACTAGCTCCATAAATAAAACAATGGCATATACATACATACAGTACATGTCTATACATATATACGAATAAATCACTTTATATCTATTGATCACTTTATATCTATTATATCACACAATTTTCTTATTATATGTCCAATTTATCTAACTTATCTCATTTATGTCTATGTCCGCACAGGAAAGCAAGAAACGAAATTTCAATTCTTTTTATGACCAAGGCATGTAAAGAAATTGACAATAAAAGCCTACTTGACTTGATATATACAAAATTCCACATAGAATATAGATCAAATAGCTATATGTATATGCATGTTACTTTCCGTCCCTCTGAGTCTTTATTCTGATTTCACATCACTTTTAAGTCAGTTTCTGACACCTGTCCTTCGTTTTTGTTTGTTTTAGTGACACAAACTGTCAAATCTCTCGTCTTTTAAAAAAAAAAAAAACGTTCATTTTGGGCATTTCTGCCACCCAGTTTGACTAGTTTGCATGTCTCTGTGCTCTGGAGGAATCTGTGCCCCATGTTAAGTCGGATATTTACTCTGATAACTTAATGTTTAGGACTAGGCTGGTCCCGATCCAATATCTGGATCCGATCGGCCGCCGATATTCCCAAAAAACTGCGTATCGGCCGGCGGGAGAAAATGCAGATCCAGACTCGAGAATCAGTTTTTTGTACAAGTCCGATCCCACACGAGCATTAGCATTAGCATTAGTATCTGTAACCCACAGGTCTGTGTCCTAACTAGGGATGTCCCGATCCAGCTTTTTTATCTTCCGATCCGATCCCGGCCTATCAGAGCATTTATTAAAGTCTAAAGTTATTTATCTACTTACTTAGTTGTCAGACTCATGTTGAACTAGTTGATAACAACTAGCTGAATTAGGGGAGTCTGAATAACACACACTGGTTGGTAAAGAGACACTGACCTGTTTATTCAGGGAGAAACACAAAATAGACTAAATTATAAATAACAAACGGAAATGGCATCAGTGAACAGTAAAAAGTGTACATGATACTGTAAACTGTGTTAAAAAGGTGAAAACACACAACAACCTGAATAGAAAATAGTCTATTAACTCTGTTTTACATCCAGCTCTTCCTCTTTTTCGTCCTTAAAGATAAAATAATCCCACACATCTGACATTTTTATTGATAGCTTCACATTAACATGGCCGTCTTAATGGTTAGGACACAGGTATGTGGGTTAGGAGATGCTAATGCTAATGCTAATCCTAAAGGGCCCGGATATCAGGGAACAACACTGCAAAGGTCAATGGATTATTTTAATCTGTGTGCTGGAGAACACTTTTTAGATGGGATTTAAAAAAAACAACAACTGGATCTGGAGTCTGGATCTGTGTTTTTTCTCGCGCAATACGCATTTTTTTGGGAATACCGATCGGATCCAGATATTGGATCTGGACCGGCCTGCTCAAACCCCAGAACCCGACCTGTGTTTCTGTTCCAGAAGTAACGAGAGGCCGCGGCCGGAGCTGGAGGGAGACAAGGTAAAGGACTTTAATAATCCCAGACGGAAATGATTTTTGTTACTAGCTCCATAGATAAAACAACGGCATATACATGCATACATGTCTATACATGTACATGTAGGCCCGGTC